ACCCGCCCCCCCGCCCACAAGTTAGAGACATTGCCCAGAGCTGAGGATCTCTAACTCATGGCACTTTATGTAAAGTACCCTGAGTAAAGAGTGGGGCCCTAACATCTGCCTGCATTCGAGATGTCATCATTGCTTGATTCCAATTCTACAATGCGGAAGATTCTCAGAGGCGACGGTGAAGATCCCAGCTGGTTCTTAGGCTAGGCCCATACCAAACCAATTCATCATATTAGAGGGAATTTCTCCCTGCTTCGACCAGGCAAACAACCAGCAGCTTGGAATCCTGGATAAGATTTTCAAAGCCCTTTTGCTAACACAATGGCCCAAATCCAACTCAACTTTTAAAAAGATCAGTAGGACTAAGGTAGCTTACTTTAGATGTATACATAGCATTTTATTAATTTTAGCAACATATTAAATTTAGATCCTACATCTTCCCCAGGAGACTTGTAACTCTCTGTAAGTCGCAAAAATGGCAAAAGAGAAGAAACAGAACCCTTGCAACTTTTATCTTTGTAGCCTAGTGGTTAGGGAACTTGCCCAGAGAGGTGAAAACATGTTATAGGCCCTTCTCACTCAGAGAGAGTTTGAACCTATGACTGCTTACAGACATTAAAAAAAAAGAAATGTGCTTTATTGGAAAAAGCAGTACATTGATTCAGCCTGGTTCTGCAGTGTCTGTATAGATTGGTTGCTTCAGCGGGGCTTTTTGGGACTTTTATCAAATGCTGAATCAGTTGGCTATTAGATAAAAGTGCCAAAAGGCCCCACTAAAACACTTGATCTTTACAGATGTCAGGTGAGCCGGGTCCAACTAATGTGCTGCCTCTTCTGAGCATGCACTGGGCTCGGTGCAGGAGCGCGCCAAGTTTAAAATGAAGCGCTGTTTGTTTTGGGTTTTTCTAATATCTGTAAGCAGCCTATATGTATATCCCAACTTCAACAGCTCTTCTGTGTTCCTGTCAACAGAAAAGTTAATCATGGCTTTTCTGAGACTACTATTTCAGGGACTTACACAAAATGTACGTGACTTTTTGGGGGAGCGGGATCACTGCTGTGCATACATGATCAGAATGCATCCTCAGAAGGGCAAGTTGAGTTGTGCAAGTGGCAGACAATGCCAATTACAAGGTTAATGTTGCACACATAAAGCAGAGTTGGATTTCAACCAGCCCCTCTAGTGCTTCCAGAAAGGAAGAACAAAAGGGGTGTGAGCCCAACTAAAGTAAATGCATTTATATTTGAATTATTTCTTGTGAGCTCTTCTCTTGCAGTATTCACCCAGTTGTATTGGTGGTCATTATGGCTATGTTTATGTTCAGTGTGGAATCCAAGATATGTGATGGAAATCGTAGAAGCTATGCCTGTTATACATTCTGATGGGGATATTTTGTTTAAAATAAATTACCTTTACAAATGATTGCCTTCAAATGGCAATTTAGAATCAAAAGCTTAAATGTACATCCTGGGGAAATAATGCTAGCTCTGTTAGGTAATATAAAACCAAGAGAATTTGGTTTGGATGAATTACTATATATTCATATGCCTTCCATGGAAAAAAACCTGTCCTTATCAAGTGTACTGTTTTCTTTTTGATAAAAAAATAGCATGTATATTCAACAAGCATTTTAAAATTGTTTCTATTCTTTGATATGACTTATTTTATGATGTTTTGTTTATAGTTCTGATGAAATAATGTAATTCTAGGGGGTTATATTTACATTTTAAACATGCACATTTGATTGAATTTAGTAAGAATAGGCTTAAAGTTAGCAAAGAAACAAGGCAAGCTTTACAAATATGGTTGCTAGAACTGGATGGAACTCCTTTCTGAGTGTACAGTTGGAAAAAAATCTCATCATTCTCTCTGGAATACTTCTAAAAAGAAACTGTGTTCAGGTCCTTGTACTGGTAATAGTGGTTATTTCCCTTCGTTTTATATATATTGAGTTTACCAGGTATCTCTGGAAAGCTGTCAGAAACTCAGATTGCATATAATTCTGATTAGTTGCACTCCTGTTTGCTTAAATTATCTGAGCCATCAACTGTAACTGTTCCCATATTAAAATTATGCATCTTCCTCTCATCTATTGTATACATTTATGAAGAATTATTGCCCTATGTTGTGCAATTCAGTTTTTCAGAGAAACAGAAATTTTGAGGCCAACACTCAAAGATGTTGGCTGCCAACAGAAGTAACTTCTGAAATGTTTCCAAGTTCTCTTTGGGTAGGGGACACGCATACAGTCCCTGTGGTGCCCCCTAGCTAGAACACTATAAAATTGCCATAGCTGTATGCAGACAAAGCTCTCCAGCCAGGAAACACTACAAGAAATGTTGGATATGTTTCCTTTGTCATCTGTAAACCAATGATGATGGATAGAATTGGAGGGTGGTGAGCTCGCTCTAAAGCATGCTCTCCTGCCATTGTCAGAGGTGGAATACTGGGCAAGATGGCCCATTGGTCTGACCCAGTATGGCATTTCTTATGTTCTGATGAAGCTGCAGTGATCCCTGGCTGCACTCCCTCCACAGGAAGGGGAAATGGAGGGGACAGGAAAGCAGAGGGTGCCAGAGTGGAGTGATAAGCAGGAGGGTGGTAGGGATTCTGACACTTCCTTTCCTTCTCTTCCCCCAGTGGCAGAGGGCAAGGAGGCAAGCAGAGCACTATGGGATAGTGCAGGACCCTGTCACCATACACGCATAACAAAGTGAAACCTTTCACAGTACAGCTTTCCCTCGTTTTTTTGTGTTCTGTATGCGTGAATTCACTCCTAATGCAATGATCCTTTTTATACCAAAAATTAATTATATGCAAAGTAAATTCACTCATGTGATTGGTGTGGTACAAACCCACAGTCATCTGCCTTGTGCAGTGCATTGTGGGAGTAATGCACACCAAAATATAGTCTCCATTGTGCATCTGCTCCTCACTCATTGTCTGTGACACATGTTTCTGTAGTTGCCATCCCCATTATGGCTTTTAAGCATCCCTCTAGCTTATCTCATACCCCTCTTCCTGGTCCATCAATGAAATGCAAGAGAACTTAACTAACACTGGAGACAAAACTGGAGATTTTGAACCGTGCAGAAGCTGGTGAGGGGCCAGAAATGTAGTAGAAATGAGTCTGAGGGTCAGTATAGTCGAGGTCTTGGAACATATCCCTATTTGTTACATTGTAAAGTGGGTTCTCTTTATGCAAATTTGAGTTATGCACCATTTTCCAGGAATGCATTTACAGCATAAAGTGAGGGAAACCTGTAGCACCTCATTTAAAGAGATACTATTTTGGAGTGCTTCAGCTACTTTTTGGACTATTTCAAAGTCCATGTACATTGTCACAGCTGGCCCATTGTAATGTTTCAAAGGCATTTGAAACATTTCAGTTGTGACTCTTGCCCACAACATTTCAGTAAAGTAGTTAAAATAGTGCATTATAATTGTATGAATAAAAACAATATAACTTTAATTTGCATGATTTTTCTTCACAATATGATAATTTTGCAGCAGCATAGCTTTCAGAACAAGTAATGACACATTCTTTGACCCCAAAATCTGTCATTCTGAATGAGAAGT